TGTTGCTAAACCTGAAGGATTTGTAGATCCAAGATTCCAAGATCATGTATACAAGCTCAAGAAAGCTCTCTATGGGCTGAAACAGGCACCCAGAGCTTGGTACGATGCCTTGACCGAATTTCTGGTTGATTCTGGTTTCTCCAAAGGCAAGATTGATACTACACTGTTCATCAAGCGACAGAAATCTGATATTATTCTGATTCAGATCTATGTCGGTGACATCATCTTTGCCTCATCCAATTCGCGTCTATGCAAACATTTCGAGAAACTGATGAAAACAAAGTTCGAGATGAGCATGATGGGTGAACTGAACTTTTTCCTAGGCCTGCAAGTACGACAACTCTCTGATGGCATTTTCATCAACCAGTCAAAATATATTATTGAAATGCTAAAGAGATTCAACATTGACGGCAAATCTTCCATGACGACCCCTATGTCCCCGAATAATAAACTGGACTCAGACCCCTCCGGGAAGCCAGTTGATGCTACAAATTACAGGGCCATCATTGGATCTTTGCTGTATCTCACGTCAAGCAGGCCTGACATTGTCTTCTCCACATGCTTATGTGCTTGATTTCAAGCTAATCCGAAAGAATCCAATCTTACTGCTGTGCGTCGAATCTTACGATACCTTAAAGGCACTGTGAATCTAGGCCTTTGGTATCCCAAGCATTCAGGCTTTGACCTAGTCGGATATTCGGACGCTGATTTTGCAGGTTGCCGGATGGACCGCCAAAGTACATCGGGAGCTGTCCAGTTCTTGGGCGAGAAGTTAGTTTGCTGGTCTTCCAAAAAGCAGAATTATGTGTCAACATCTACAGCTGAGGCCGAATACGTCGCGTCTGCTAGTTGTTGTTCACACATATTATGGATGAAGACTCAGCTCAAAGACTACGGTTACACATTCCGCTATATCTCGATCTGCAGTGACTCACAGAGCACTATCGCCATCACCAGCAACCCAGTTCACCACTCCCGCACCAAACACATTGATTTGCGCTATCACTTCATCAAGGATCACGTGGAGAAAGGAGATATTGATATGTACTTTGTAAGCTCAGAGCTTCAAGTGGCTGACTTGTTTACTAAGGCATTGGATGAAAAAAGATTCCAGTTCCTAGTCTCCAAGTTGGGCATGTTGAACCTCGAGCCTGTTTAAATTTCGTCTCCACTGGTCTGAAAAGTGTGTGTGTGGGACTTGTAAAAAGCGTGTGTGGGTGTGATCTGTAAATAGTGTGTGTGTGTGTTGCATGTGTCAAGGGGGAGAAAACCCAAAAAGAACAAAAAATAGTGTGTGTGTTGCATGTGTCAAGGGGGAGAAAACCCAAAAAGAACAAAAATAGTGTGCGTGCATTGCATCTGTACATAGTGTTTGTTGCATTTTTTTGGGGGGAGAATAGGGAAAAAAAATTCACTGTTTGAGGGGGAGCTCTAATTTTTACTGATATTGGGCCTCAAAAATCTTTTTAAATAGGCATTTTGTGCTAGCCCATACATTCGGGCTCAACTGTTACGGAAAGGCCCAAACTTCTCGCGTATATAAGCCCTCGTGAAACCCTTCATCCTTCCCATTCTTAAAGTTTTTCGCAAACCAGAGGCCTCGGAACACATTTCGAAACCAGAGCTCCCTCAGTTTTCGTTCGTCTTCTTCCCGAAATTTCTCTATCTCCCGATTCTCACTACGATTCTCACTACAAAGGTAGTTAAATGGGAGCATCTGATCTTCTCGCTTCTGTTCTCCATCACCATCGCCATCCGCTCTGTATTCAAACGAAAACCTTTTTTGAAAATCGTTCGTAAAATCTCAAAAACAATAGAACAAAGGGTTTTTCTACGATTGTTTGGAGGTCGAAATCTTTTTGCACATCGTTTTGACGTGTCTGTTGTATATGATTTTGCAGGTGGGTTCGTCGTTTCGAGTTCCATGATCTCGAGATTTGGTTCTCCAGATCTCGATATCGTCGGTTCGTCTTCGAGAAGAGATCTCGAGATGTAGCTCTCGACATCTGGATGTCGAGCTTCAAAACTCGAAATCTTGATTTCGAGATCTACATCTCGATATCTTGATCTCGAGATTTGAATCTCGATATCTTGATCTCGAGATTTGAATCTCGATATCTTGATCTCGAGATTTGAATCTCGATATCTTGATCTCGAGATTTGAATCTCGATATCTTGATCTCGAGATTTGAATCTCGATATCTTGATCTCGAGATTCTAATCTCGATATCTTGATCTCGAGATTTGAATCTCGAGATCTCGAATCTCGAGGTTTGGACTTAGTTTTTTTTATATAGCCCACCTGCACCCAAATGTCTGAAACTTCAAAAATCAAAATTTTTTCAATCTAATCTCAAAGCAAACAAACAACGGATTAATATGCTGACCCCCTGCTTTTACAGTTCATTATGGCAGGAACACATCAAACTCAGATTGACGACACCATCTACCCAAAAGGGAAGTGGATCAAGGTGCTGGATAACAACTTCCAGCTAGACCTCACCGTGTTCAAATGCCAGAACCCGGTCATTCCCGCCATCATGAAAGGTCACTATCTCTGCGCCGCACTCCACAATGCCAAACCAGTGCCAGAGATATACCTACAACAATTCTGGGGCCATATGCATACATAGTCAGTGAAGGATCGCTCCAAGATTAAGACTAAGCTGAATGGTATGCGCGTAATCCTGACGCTGTCTACAATGCGATCCACTCTAGCGCTTCCGGTCCACGACACATATGATCCTCTGCCGTCCATTCCTGACCTTCTCAAGGACGTTGCAGCTCTAGGCTACACATCTCTTCTTCCCCAGCTGTCAAATTTCAATGGAGCCTATCTCCATCACCCGTGGAAGAGCCTGTTCGGGTTGGTGAACAAATACCTGTCACCGAAGCATGCCGGGTTTGACAAATGCAACAAGCAGATTCTACTCATCTTCCACAGCATTGCATACAACAAGAACTACGACATGGCTCAGCTCTTCTACTCAGAGTTCATGGACCTGGTAAAAGCAAAGGAGAAAACAAGTCAGGCACCATCCCATACGCCAGGTGGCTGGGGTTGATTATCCATGACTGCATGGCAGAGCACACCTCCATTCCTAAACGCAGTGCCGATCCACACTTCACAGCCCTAAAGCTCCAATATTTCAAAGCTGACAAGAACGCGGCTCAGGGCTTGCGGATTCCTGGGTTCCTACTAAATCTCGCCAATCCGTCCAATCCTGCAGTCCAACAGTACCGCGAAAGTGTTGACAGAACTGTCCATATGGTTCAGCAAAACCCAGCTGGACCTACCCTAGGGACAAAGCTGAGTGCACGTGAGGGTCCCAAAAGAGCCCAAAAGCCACAGAAACCAGTGGCCGGTTTGCCCCATGAAGGAAAGTCCAACGACTCTCTCGAGACGAGTCGGACAGCTGAGGGCACCAAAACGGACGCTGAGGAATCTGCTGATGAATCGTCCAGTGATGCCCAAACTAACACTGACGACGAGGCATCCGATACCGTGGGCACGAATGGCGATGAGTCAGACTCTGATGACAATGGTGATGACAGCGACGACGTTGAGCACACCTATGCTCTGATCAGAAAGGGTAAGCTGCCTGCCGAATCTCCAAAGAAGATAACCGCTGAAGACGCAGCACCCATTATCTCCGGCAGACCCAAGATCTTCACCATCAAGGAATTACAAAATTCCAAAAGCGTACACAGAGAAACCAACAGCTCCAAGGCTGGCTATGATGAAGCAGCCCACGCCATCAAGAACTCTAAGGATGCCATCATTCGTGAGAAACGGGCTAAAATAAAGAATGACAAATCTGCTAAGCCAAAGCCTCAGCCTCGCATCAGAAAGAGCCTCATAGATAAGGATGACGAGCACATCTTCGCTGGCCGTGACCCTTTTATCCAGATAAGCCGAGTTGAATCCCTAAGTACAAGAGCCGACCTTTTCGGTTCCCAAGTAGAAGCCGCAGCATCTGGCTCAACTGCGCATGCACAACCCTCATCCAGCCACTCGTTAGCCTCCCAACAGGCTATCGTTTCAACAACACGCGACTCACCCACCTCTCTGGTTCCTTCCGAATCAGTTGAGCGAACTATTGACCAATCGCCCGAGGTCAAAATCCCTCCTTCAAACACATCGAGTCTAGGTGTCACATTTCCCACATTTTCTTCATTTTCTAGGACACCTACACTATTCACATCACATACAGGTGCACCCACTCTGAACGCAACGACCAGAGCGCAAGCTATGACGGTCGGAAGTCCTGCTATGCCTACAATGATTCCATCATTGAACGCAGGCCACACATCAGCTATCTTCACTGATGCTGTGACAACAGTTACAACCCCCGTAACTGGCTACCCCACCTTTGAAGATGTCAACGTTCTCCTGAATCGCTTCCTGGACTCCACCATAAAACCATGGGTGCAAGAAGCAATGACCGCTCTTGCACAGGAATTTTGGACCACCCAAGCGGTTCAGCCTGAACAGCCCACACCCCAACCTGCACCCGAACCCTTCATATCCTATACCCAACCAATATCTTCCACCGCCCTCTCTCACCACTCCATCAACCAAATACCCATCCCTTCACCTTCTTGGGGCACCCATGATACAGAACCAGTATTATCCCCACACCCGACCACACCTTCCATCGATCTCCTCTCGCCACCCTTCGATACCTTGGCATCGGCTTTGCTGGACCATCTCCTCAACATCTCAGAAACCAACCTCACCCCCTACTAGCTAGCCATCCTCGATGCCCTCCTCTCTTCCCCTGAAACCAAGAGCAAATGCCATGACAGTTGTTGGTCCCGGTTGTACTGGATACAGTCTAGAGGGGGGGGGGTGAATAGACTGTATTGGTTTTTAACTTTTTCAAGCTTAGTACCAGATTTAACAGACTAACATGTTCTGTTGGCAGAACAGACTGGAAGCGGATGGGGTTCTGGTAGGGGGTTCTGTTAGTTTAGCCTCAGAGAAGCAAAGGCAGTAGGCCTTCTGTTAACTCACAAGACAAGTTCTGCTGAACACAGATACCAAGTCTTTGGAGTTAAACAGTTCAAATAAAAACTATAAGTAAAATGCAGTAAGTAAATGACATCAGGGCTTTTTATAGTGGTTCAAGGAACAACTTGTTCCTCTAGTCTACTGTTCCACTAAGCTTGTAAAAACGACCGTTTACAATGCCTTAGCCCTATCACTTAAGAAGCTATCCACGTCTTCTTCAAGTGTAGATGTCTCCTTGGATGCACTTCTGGCTTCCTTAAGACTGGTCCTTTCACTGAGCTTTCCCGGAAGTATCACCACTTCACTGCTCCAGGTACTTGGATGTCCTTCTTGTGAAAGAAGAGTTTCTGTTAAAAACATGGGTTCCTCCAACTTGCTTCGTTACAAAACATTTGTATATGAAGAGCTTGAAGAGTTGAAGAACGATTAGAACTTTGCTTGAGTTGGAAGTAGGAAGCTTTCCAACGTCTGCCTTCTCTTGTAAAAGATAATGAAGATTTTATCTCAAGGAGGCTTTTTGCGTTTTTAGCGTTTGAATGTTTTGTATGCGCACTGTTGTAGCAAAGTTATCCGGTTGTTCTTCGTAGTGTATCTTTTATACTGAGGTTGTCTTCCCGTTGGAGGAGAAGGAGGACAACTGCATTAAATGAGCAGGCAGTTGACTTGACCAGTAGGACCCAGCAAAGTTGGCGGGTTACTATTTTGGGATAAAGCTATCCTGACATTGCGGCCAATCATCTGCATTTACTCTACAGAGTATGGGAGGCATTAAATGTGCATTTAATGCGCGTACTGTAGCTTTTCCGTTCAAGACTCCTAGCCGTTGAGGGAATCTTCAGTTGGTTTACCGGCTTGGTGAAATTCTTCTAAGTGTCAGGCCTTCTGGTGTCTTCAGCAGAGAGTCGATCAGAGAAGGTCTAGATCACTTCTGTTGGAGAAAGCTATCAGAGATTCTTGAGGGTTTCTGTTGAAGATTTGTCCAACAGAAAACCAATAGGGTTTCTGTCCGTGTAAAGGCTAACAGAGACCCAGAGGTCTTCTGTTCTGAAGCAGAGAGCCAAAGGTCTTCTGTTGAAACAAAGCCTATCAACGGTCTTCTGTCTGGAGGTCTTCTGTTCTGTAGGCCTTCTGTTCTGGAGGCCTTCTGCCAGTCGACTATACTAAAGAACTTTACAAGGAAAAATTCTAATACATTAAATCTAAAGAGGGGTACTCTAAAGTCCTAATTAATATAGCATCGTCAAAATCTAATTACAAATATTCCTTACAATTTCCCCCTTTTTGATGATGCCAAAACCCTTTAACTATTTCCAGAGAAGTGCCTTCACCATAAAGAATTAAAGTTTAAAACTTTCATTAAAATCTTGGTGGGCAACTTGGCATAGGAAAATAGTAAGAGTACAGTACATTCAGATAGCAGATAATAAATCATAGGTATCAGAGCAAGATAAGAAACACAGAAAGCAAACAAACACACAAAAGAGACAAATGAGAAGGAATTTCCTTACAAAAAGAGAGGTAGAGATATGATTTTATTAGAGACAGTTTACAGAAAGGATTCCTTACACATTCTCCCTAGTAGCTGTGGCCAGAGCTTCATCTTCCAGTCTTTGAAGCCTTAGCAATTCTTCATTGATTTCTTCTCTAATATGAGATAGGTTACCAGAACTTTGATAAGATGCCCAGATAGGAGATAGCTTGCAATCCAAGTAGCTAAGAACTCCTTCATGAATTGTCTTGCCAGGGACAATGTTCTTCTGGTACCCATCCTCTGCTTCTTCTAGGGATCCCCCATGTCTGACTCGTACATACCCATCCTTATCTAAGAAGAGATTATGTTGCTGTGTGAGAGTCATTTTCATTTTCATCTCTTCGAATTGAACTCTGTCAATTTTCTGGGATCCACCCAATCTCCAATCAGTAAAACTAAGAATCTTCTTCTTCTTGGTGCCCTTCTTAACTGGAGATGGGGGTCTGGATATAGCGGCTGCTCTCTTCTTTTGTATAGCCGCTTCAAAGTAGGGTGCAGGATCAACAGTTGGTTCAGTAGAGGGGGATGCTCTTGCAGAGGCTCTAGTGGACCGAGGCTTAGTCTGTTGAGGACCCTCTTCCCCTTTTTTGGCATCATGGAGGTCCTCTAGCATGAGGTTGATCTTCTGGAACTCTGAGGTCTGTGAGGTGGCTATCTACTCAAGGGCATCTAGTAGAGTCTGAGTGACAGAAGTGAGTCCTTCTATCAGCCCTTGCTGCTTCTGGATGGCAGAGAAGATATCTTTGTTGTTGGCTTCCACCAATACCATCTTCTGGTATCTGTCTCTGTCAGCAGAGAGGAGATGTTGAGCTTGATCTTGGTGGACTTTGCACATTTCTTCAATGGTTAGCAATTGCTTCTTAGTCCTGTGATCAGATCGTTGAAGAGTCTCAAGGTTCTCAGATATGGTGCTGATGGCCTTACCTTGAACCAACAAAGTCTGGTGAAATGTGAAGAGAGTCTTGTGAATACTGTCCACTTCTGTTGAGAGTGCATCTGTTATGGCAGTGGATGAATCCATGAAATAATTGAGGGATTCTGTGAGATTGGCAAAGCGATCTGAAATGAACTACATTCCAGAGTTGAGGTTATCATTCACATGTGAGAGGTGTTCGAAGTGTTTGTCATTGATCTGGATAAGCTTGTCCATTCCTTCTTGAACTTGACCACCAAACTCTTCTGTAGTCTGAACAAACCTATTGAAAGGAATTTGTGGCTCTGATTCTTCAAAACTAGGCATCCCCAGTCCCCTTGATTTGGGCATGGGAGCCCTTCTAGAAATGTTGTCTTCAGCAGATGAGGCTTGTTGTTGCTGAACTTCATACTCAAGTTGTGTCAAAGGAGGGGTCTTCTGTCTCTTGGATGAGGCTTCATGAGGTTTGCTGACAATGAATCCACCCATGCTTAAGGAGTCCTCATAGGATGAGTAGATGGGTATTGTGTTTCTGACAACACGTGTCTTTTTGTTGAAGGAAGGATTGGAGGCTGTGGAATTTCTGGAGTAGCCTTGAGGTGCTGGAACAGGAGACACAGTAGGTGGATCTTGAGACTGAAGAGTGGCAGTCTGTATATGAATTGGGTTCTGCTGGGGAGAGGGTGATTTGGATTTCTGTTGGGAGGAGGTTTTCTGGTGAGGAGAGGCATTCTGTTGTAAAGGTGTGATCTGATGAGGAGGAGGGGGTGGAGGAGAAGGGGATCGGTTTCTGATAGGGGTGAGCTCTTTGCAGGTTGATGGTGATTTGGTTTTCTTAGTTGAAGAGTGAGGAAAGGTTGAGGTTTTCTGTTCTGAGGTTTTCGGTTGAAGGTTCTCTGTAGGAAGGGTTTCTGTTGGGATGGTTTCAGTTGGAATGAGAAGAGAGGGAATTTGGGGTTCTGTTGAGATATGAGCAGAGTGGGTTGGGGAGATTACCTCAAGTACAGTTTCTTCGATCAGGGATGCCCTCCATTCTCTGATAAGCTCCATCATAGCATGTGTTGGTCCCGTTTGTAATGAGAACAGTCTAGAGGGGGGGTGAATAGACTGTTCAGGAATTTAAACTTTTCTCTAAGTCAAAACTGACTTATCAGAGATGGTCGAAATCTGGTGACAGAGATGGTCAGGTTCTGATGGCAGAACTAGACGAGGCAGCGGATAAGTTTCTGTCCGGGTAGCCTCTAGAAGAATGCTAAGGCAAAGTGCCTTTCTGATAACTCTGAAAAAAGATCTGCTGGACACAGAGTCCAACTTTAAGAGTTAATCAGTAGAATCTTAAGTGCGGGAATTAAAAGCTTAAAGTAAATGACACCGGAGTTTTTATAGTGGTTCAAGGAACAACTTGTTCCTCTAGTCCACTGTTCCACTAAGCTTGCAAAGACAATAGTTTACAACGCCTTAGTCCCTATAACTTAAGAAGCACTCCTCGTCTTCTTCAAGTCTAGTTGCCACCCGGGATGCAGTCCTGCTTCCTGATGGCGGGTCTCGTTTCACTGAGTCTCTTGAAGTATCCCCACTTCACTTACTCCAGTTAGTTTGAGACGTCCCTTCTTTTTCAAGAAGTGTTTGATTCAAAATCAGTTTTCTCCAACGTTGCTTCTTCACAAAGGATGAGTAGATGAAGTTTTCGAAGTGTTGAAGAACTGAGGAACTTTGCAACTTGCTTGTTGGATGAAGGATTAGAAAATATATCTTCCAACTGAAGCCTTTTCTTGTTTAGAATGAAGTTTGAATCTCAAGAAGGCTTTGAGGTATTTGAGTTAGAGTAGAATAATCTGAGCAAGTTCGTTTGGTAGATGTTGTAGCAAAGTTATTCTCTTAGTTCTTCAGAGTGTATCTTATATACTGGGAGCAGTCTTCCCGTTGGAGTGTAGAAGACAGCTTCATTAAATGTTTGTACTGTTGACTTGACCGGTTGGACCTTCGACTTGCTATTTTGGGGGCGTAAAGATACTCGCATGGTCAATCATCAGCTTTAAATATCTCTTCGTACGTACAACATTAAATGTGCATTTAATGCGTGTACAGTACCATGTTTCCGTTGAAAGATTCGTAACCGTTAGGGGATTTCCCGTTAGTTTAACGACCGTTGGTAAGTGTTTTCGGAATCTGGTGTGTGAGACAGAGTCTTATGAGACTCTCTGGTTCAATCTCTGAAGTCCGCCTCTGTTGCCAACTCTGGTATCAACACAGATAACCAGTTCTGATTGCTTCTCTGGTGAGCAACTCTGGGAGCAACTCTGGTAGAAGCAAGGTGGATCTCTGGCAAGCAGACTAAGCTAAAACTTACAAAATAAATTCTAATACAAAATTTCTAAAGGGGTACTTTCAAATTCTAATTAACCTAGCATCATCAAAATCTAAATACATTTATTCCTTACAGCATGCCTTTCTGTCTTGGGTACAGAAGGTTCTCCTGGTGTAGAGTGAGGTTGCACAAATTGTTTTGCCTTCTTGGCAAATAGCCATTCTTCAAAGACTTCTATTTCTTCATCTTCAAGGGGCTTGACTATCTCCTCTGAAGAGGTGGATATGAGAACAACCTTTCCCTTGTAATTTGCCTTCTTCTTCTCGAGGACAGAGTGCAGGAAGTTGAGGGCAAAGCACTTTGAGACATCATCAGTGCCCACCCACTTCAGTATGGCCTCTTCTTCAGACTCATAGTGGTTAAAGTATTGGATGATCTTTTGGAGGGGTCCCATCCTCCATCTTCTCCATTCCAGCACTCGATCAAACTGTCTATCCAGTAAAGATAGATACCCTTCTTTGTCTGTATTGGGGTGTTCTGGTGATGTTGGCACTCGGTTCTATTCTGGGGTGGCAACAGAAGTGGGGTTCTCTGGTTCCACCTGAGTGTCTGCTACCTTCTCAGACACTGAGATTACAGGTTTGATGACCTTCTTCTTAGTTCTGGTGGTTCTCTTCCTCTTAAGTGCAACCTTCTTGGGTTGAGGAGGTGCAACTTATTTGGTTTTCTTCTCCCTTTTCTTCTTCTTCTCCTCAGTGGGTGCATCAGAGAGGGGTTTCTGAACCTTGTCTCCTTGTTGTCTCTTGTTATCAAGCTGAAGCTGTCGCTTTAGTTCTGCCTTGATAGCAATTTCTCTATTCGGAGATGCAGACAGAAAGATTACCTTAGTGTGATCCAGAGGTGTGATCTTCCTCAAGGTGACACCTTGTGTGAGTAGCAATTCAGAGATGATCAATCCATGGCCTAACTTCCCAGAATATAGGCCTGTCTTGGGGTTCTTTTATTTTGATGAATTCAATGAGGGACCGCACCATAACTTGTCCCCAGTTGACATTTACTCCATGATGTACTGCATAGAGGGCCTTTGCATTTGCAGTAGTGACATCATCAGTGGAGGTATACTTTCACCATAAACATTTGTGGAAAATGTTAATGAGGAGCTCAAAATCCTTCTTGAGCAGGTGTTTCTTGATGTTCACTTTTTCTACTTCTTCTCCTTTTCTGAAGTAGTTCCTTTTGAATTCAGGAACAATGACGTCAGCTTCTTCTAAATCAAATAGAGAGGCCCTGCCTTCTTCTAGTTGAATGTCAAAAATTTTGTTGATGACGTCATCATCAACCAGTATGTCCTCTCCTTGGACTTTAGAAGTGATGGATTCATCTTTGTAGGAGGCGTTGAGGTAGAATTCAACGGTATATATGTTGCTGTAGACTTCATATGTGAAGGAGATGACCTTGCTCAGTTGACATTCTGTCAGTCCTTCAATGATGTTTGCCATCCTTTCTTCTTTTTCTGCAAATCTGGGTAGTACTTCCAATTCGCACTTCGTCCCTGTCAACACATTCTTGAGCAGTGTAGCTTTTTGCTCCTTAGAGAGGTCGGTGAAGTTCAAGAAAGCCTTAGCTGGATTGAGAGGTTGGAGAGTTTTTAGAGAGATAAAGATTTGAATGCTTGAGAGTAATGAAAGAAGTAGCGGTTTAGGTTGGAACGAAGAGAATATATGGGTACGGGTTAGTGGACGTTTGAGATTATTGGCGGTTCCAAGGTACCAATAAATGAAAATGGGGGCGCAGTAAATATTTTGCGGCTGTAATACCGTTTAAGGGTAGAAGGGTAAAAGACCTTCATTAATTTACTAGTGTAAGGAATATTTGTAATTAGATTTTGATGATGCTATATTAATTAGGACTTTAGAGTACCCCTCTTTAGACTTAATGTATTAGAATTTTCCTTTGTAAAGTTCTTAGTATAATCGATTACCAGAAGGCCTCCAGAGCAGAAGACCTCCTGACAGAAGATCTTTGGTTCTCTGCCTTAGAACAGAAGACCTCAGGGTCTCTGTTAACCTTTACTCTGACAGAAACCCTCCTGGTTCTCTGTTGGATATCTTCTCAACAGAAGTGCTCAAGACATTCTCTGATCAACTCTCTGTTAAAGACACCAGAAGGCCTGGCACTTAGAAGAATTCCACCAAGCCGGAAAACCAACTGAAAGATTCCTTCAACGGCTAGGAGTCTTGAACGGAAAAGCTACAGTGCGCGCATTAAATGCACATTTAATGCTCCCCATACTCCGTAGAGTAATTGCAGATGATTGGCCGCAATGTCAGGATAACTTTATCCCAAAATAGTAACCCGCCAAGTTTACCGGGTCCTACTGGTCAAGTCAACTGCTCGCTCATTTAATGCAGTTGTCCTCCTTCTCCTCCAACGGGAAGACAACCTCAGTATAAAAGATACACTACGAAGAACAACCGGATAACTTTGCTAACTTTTGCTACAACTCTCAATACAAGATATTAAAACGCCAAAAACGCAAAAAGCCTCCTTGAGATTAAATCTTCATCATCCTCTACAAGAGAAGGCAGAAGTTGGAAAAATCCTTATTTCCAACTCAAGCAAAGTTCAAGTGTTCTTCAACTCTTCAAGCTCATCACTTACAAATCCTTTGTAACGAATCAAGTTGGAGGAGCCTCTGTTCTAAATAGAACCTCCTCTTTCACAAGAAGGACGTCCAAGTACCTGGAGCAGTGAAGTGGTGATACTTCTGAAAAGCTCAGTGAAAGGACCAGTCTTAGGGAAGCCGAAAGTGCATCCAAGAAGACATCTACACTTGAAGAAGACGTGGAGAGCTTCTTAAGTGATAGGGCTAAGGCATTGTAAACGGAAGTTTTTACGAGCTTAGTGGAACAGTGGACTAGAGGAACAAGTTGTTCCTTGAACCACTATAAAAAGCCCTGGTGTCATTTACTTACTGCTTTACATTCATTGTATTTATTTAAACTGTTTAACTCCAAAGACTTGGTATCTGTGTTCAGCAGAACTTGTCTTGTGAGTTAACAGAAGGCCTACTGTCTTTGTTTCTCTGAGGCTACTAACAGAACTCCCTACCAGAACCCCATCCGCTGCCAGTCTGTTCTGCCAACAGAACAGGCTATTCTGTTAAATCTGGTACTTAGCTTGAAAACGTTAAAAACCAATACAGTCTATTCACCCCCCCTCTAGACTGTATCCAGTACAACCGGGACCAACAAGTGGTATCAGAGCCTCCTTGTTCTAATAATCTCTTAGGTTATTTGCTGAACAAAGATCCACTTGTTTTTCTGTTTTTCCTCATTTTTATCTGATATAATGGATCACTCTCTGTCCAAGAATCTTATGTTCTCAGATCTCAAATTTGATGACTGGAGGATCCGGATGAAGGCACATCTCTGTGCTCTGCATGATGAGATGTAGGAAGTGCTTGACATTGGGCCCTTCACAAGCTTCCAGAAGGTCAACCCTGAACATGCTATTGACAACACTAGACCTCAGATGATCAATAAGGCCAAATCTGAGTGGACGACAGAAGAAAGAAGGAAGTACAATCTGGACAACATTGCTAAGGACATTCTTTACAAGTCCATCGATGATAGGTACTTCAACAGAATAAAGAAGTGCAAGACTGCAAAGGAAATCTGGGATACTCTTGAGCTCATTGGAGCTGGTGCTGAGCAAGAGAAGGACAACAAGCTGACAATAGCCAACAAGAAGTTTGATGACTTCAAACTTCTTCCTGGTGAAAGCATCTCCAAGATGTATGACAGGCTCCTTACTCTCACTGGAGAGATCTCGGAGCTTGGCAAGGAACTCACCACCAAGGAGATCAACCTTAAGGTGTTGAGGGGACTGCCCTCAGCATGGAAGATGAAGGTGGTTGTTGTCCAAGCCAGCAAGGATGTGAAGACTTATCCCACTGATAAGCTCATTTTAGATCTCAAAGCTCATGAGTTTGAAATGATTGAAGAAAAAGAAGATGTACCAGAAGAGAGGACCACTACAGCCCTCACTGCCAGCACATCAAAGGTAAATGATTTTGACCCTTCAGTACTTTTATCTGACGAATATATGGCTGCTTTTGCTAGATGATTCAAGAAGTTCATGAAGAATCCTAAAGATGGAAGAAGTCCATCATTCAGTAGAAAGCCATTCCAGAAGGTCAAAACAACAGAAAGCAGTGGTGAGCTTCTCTGTTACAACTGCAGACAACCTGGACATTTCAAGGCAGAATGTCCACATCCAAGAGTGTCCAAGAAACAAGGGCATGATGGAGAAAAGAAGAAATATGAAGATAACTCCAGAAGAAGGAAAGCACTCGTGACAGAACAGTTCGAGAAAGACCCTCTGTCAGAGACAGAATCCAGTTCTCACTCTGACTCTGATGAGGCCTTCTGTTGCCTTGATACTGAGACAGAAGACCTATGCCTCATGGCTCATTCTGATGATGAGGTAACCTGTACTTCTACATCTAGTTTTTCTTCGGTAGGCTTAGCTTTTGATTCTGATTCAATGTCAGAATTTTGGGAAGAGTTTAAGGCCATCCAAGCCACTTATTCTTCTGTAACAGAAGAAAACAGTAAGTTGAAAGCTGAAATTCTTGACTTGAAAAAGGAGGTTGAGATCAAAATCAATCTTCTAATTAAGGAAAGAGATCAGCTGGAGACTGAAAATGTTTCTCTTCTCAAGAGAATAAGAGAAATAGAGCCTCTCGAGATTAAGTACAAAGCTTACCAGAAGGCCCAGTCTTCCATGGAAAAGATTCTACTTGATCAACAGATTGGCACTAGTTTTGGTCTTAGTTATGGCTCAACAGAATCAGGTGAGCCTTCTGTAATGCCTAGCACCAGTGTTGCTAAGGCAGATAAGGTCATAGTGCCACTGATCTCTAGCCCCATCTGTCAAGCTGGTGTATCCGGCACCAAGGTTGTTCATGAGGAAGTTAGACCAGAAAAGGGAAAGATAAAGGTTCAACAGAAACCCTTTTTGAAAAATAATGAACCTGGCAGAAAACCTAACAACAGAAAAGGTTTTCAGGATAACAAAAATAAAAGACCATTCATTGACAGACAACCTCATGACAATCGTGCCAGAAATGACCACCAGAAGGGCAAATAACAAGAGAGAGTTAACTTTAGGCAGAAGAGGTTGGCTGGTCAACTTCAGAAGCCCAAAGCTAACCGTCCATCTGCTCTTGATAGTATATGGGACTTCTTTCCAACAAAGAAAGCTATGCAAAAGTATGTAAACAGGAAGCATGACCCTCACAAGCATCTGCCCAAAGTGAATCAGACTTCAGTTTACTATAACTACCAGGTGGACAATGGGTACCACCCACCAAGGTTTCACCTGATGAGACCAAAATGGTACCAACTACCCAGACTCCATGACCCCCCAGGACCTAACATTGCTTGGGTACCTAAATCTTTCTTTTGATCTTGTAGAAACTGTGTGCTGGAGCTATCTCAGAGCAAGAATGCTTTATTGATAGTGGATGCTCCAGGCACATGACAGGTGACAGAAGTTGTCTAACTGAGTTCCAGAAATGCAAAGGACCTAGAGTTACCTTTGGAGGTAATGACAAAGAAGGTCAAACAAAAGGAAGAGGAAAGCTGATCAAGAACCAGATAGTCATTGATGATGTCTCATATGTCAAAGGACTGAAGTTCAACTTGCTGAGTGCTAGCCAATTCTGTGACAAAGGCTACACTGTTGAATTCACAAAGGACTTCTGTTATGTGAAGCATGAGACAACAAAAGAAGTGGTTCTTACAGCATCAAGGAAGAAGAACATCTATGTGGTTGATTGGAACACTGCAAAGGATGGAGTTTGCCTGATAGCCAAGGGAGATTCAAAACTAAGCTGGGACTGGCACAAGAAGCTTAGCCATTTGAACTTCAAAACAATCAACAAACTGGCAAGAGAACACATAGTTGATGGACTGCCAGACATAGTCTACAAGAAAGAGACCCTCTGCAGTGCATGCCAGAAGGGAAAGCAATAGAAGAACTCTTTCAAACCCATTGCTGGAGATCTTTCTACAAGTCCTTTAAATCTGATCCACATGGATTTATTTGGACCTGTTGAAACTCCAAGCGTTGGTGGCAAGAAATACACCCTAGTCATGATTGATGACTATTCCAGATATACATGGACTATCTTTCTGTCAAAGAAAAATGAAACTCTTCAGAAGTTGCCATCTCTGTTAAAGCAACTTCAGACTGAGAAGAACTCTAATGTTAAGACAATCAGGTCTGACAGAGGAACTGAATTTGTCAACCAAGTCATAAAGGATTTCTGTGATCAAAATGGAACCTTTCATCAACTCTCTGCCGCCAGAACCCCTCAACAGAATGGCGTAGCAGAAAGGAGGAACAAAACTTTAAAAGAAGCTGCAAGAACAATGATTGCAGAATCTGGACTACCTATGAGATATTAGGCTGAAGCAATCAATACTGCATGCTATACTCAGAACAGAAGCATGATCAACAAGAATCACCAGAAGACCCCTTATGAACTCGGGAAAGGAAGAAAACCCAACATCAATTACTTTCATGTGTTTGGATGCAAATGCTACATCCTTAACAATGGAAAGGAGAATCTGAAAGTCTTTCAAGAGAAAGCTCATGAAGGTGTCTTTATAGGCTATTCAAACACCAGTAAAGCCTATAGAGTACTCAACAGAAGGACTCTACATGTTGAAGAGTCTATACATGTGAAGTTTGATGATAGCACCTCTGTTAAAGAAGTAACATAGATCCTCAAGGAAGTAAGCATAGAAGACAGAACACCAGACCCAACAGAAGAGGTAGCAGATAACCCTGCATTTCCAACACCTGCACCAAACCCCCTTCTGCTGAATAAAGATGAAGACTCAGAAGATGAAGAACAAGAAAGACCCAGACAACAACTGACAGAACCTAACCTGACATGGTTAAGAGACCATCCCCCTAATCAAGTTATTGGGCATATCAGAAGTGGTGTGCAGACAAGATCAGCATCAACAAGGAGAGAAGCAATGCTTGCCTGCTATATATCTCAGATGGAACCCATGACTGTGGAAGAAGCTCTTGCAGACTCAGATTGGATCAATGCAATGCAAGAAGAGCTGACTCAATTTGAAAGGAACAAAGTATGGGAACTTGTTCCTAGGCCAAAGCACCAGAATGTCATTGGAACAAAATGGGTATTCAAGAACAAAGCTGATGAAGATGGCAACATTGTAAGGAATAAAGCAAGGCTGGTAGCTAAAGGCTATTGCCAAGAAGAAGGAATATGTAACACCCAAAAAAAAACTCTTAAAATAAAATCAGATATAAATTATCTGATAAATTATTAAAAGTGAAACAAGTTATTGATAAAATAATTAATACGAGTAAGTAATAATAGTACTAGCTTAACTCATACGTATACATCACTTAAATAAGATGCAATGCACTACGTAGCATAACTAACACACCATACCCTGATGATGATGCACATGACTCGCATACATATACATACACACGTAATACATACATGTATTACATACATACATACTTGATGCAAGTAACGTATATGCATGCATACATGCATCATTATTGTTATAAACATAAACTTACAGTTTGATTAGTATAGACAGTAACGGGCAACTAAAACGGATCAGATTAATGATATGCATTAATCAATCTTATTAAGTTATCAAGTAAATAGCATTAAGCCTCAAACGGCTGGAGGGAATTGAACGGTCAGGACCTCTATACATTCGTCGAGCACATGGCAGAAACACGTGAAACTAGAGAACCTATATATACATAAATACTTTGTAGGATAAAACAAAACTAAAGCTATAGCTAAGCAGACGATCTCTCAAATTTTCGGTATAAATCGAAAGAAGATAGTGAGGATGCTCCACGTCGGAAAATCGCTATAGGGCTTCCGGGCTGATTCTACGCCGGACTGTCGGAGTAGCATAACAGGTTTGCCGCAAAGAGAAGGAGTTAGCGCCGGAGAAGAAGAAGTTGGTGCCGCCGGACCAAATTGCTGCTGCCGCTGTTGCTCGACCGGAAAGCCATCGGGTGCCTCCATCTCCATCAGAAAGGAAGCCATCCCGCCGCCGTCTGAGCCGGCTGGTCACCGCCGGAAGCTAGAGCCTTGCGTCGCCGCCGGTACCGCATTAAGAAGAACGAAGTACGTAGTTGATGAACTCTCCTGTATTCCCTTCTTTTAGTTGATAGACTGGGTTGGGTTATTTCGCTGGGCTGATTATTTTATACGGGCCGTAAGATTTACAACAACAACAACAACAACAACAACAACAATAATAATAATAATAATAATAATAATAATAAGATTCTGCAAAATTAATACATTAGAGACAAGAAATATTAATGGTGAAATTTGCTTGATTAACTGATAGTAATCACTTGGATAAATTCGTTAATTGTTATTTAGTACATAATGTAAATAATAAAAATGGTTTAATTAATAAAAAAAACTGATAATCGAATATTGTATTAAAATAATAATTACTTATTTGGACTTAGTAACATGAGTAGATTAAATAAAATTTGATAGATAGTATTGTCACTAATTATGGGATTAATTGAAATAGAGTAATAAAATTAACATAATTACGGACTCGGAAATATCAAGTGTTTGGGTAAGTAATAAAATCAGATTAAGTTAATGATGATTAGTCAATTTAACTAAGATCTACTAATTGTAACAGTGTTGATTAATTTAAATTAAGGTAATTATTAAATTTGAATATTAAATAGAATTCAGATTTTAATTTTTGGGCTAATATAGGTGTTAGAATTAAAGAGATTGTGACGAACTGAGATTTGTTAATTATTTAATACCTTTTATTATCGGACGCGATTAAAATTAATAAAGGATTATTATATTAATTACCGAATTAGATTAGAATAGCTTAAATAATAAGAGACAATTATTAAGTACGAAAATATTCGTAGTAATCTATAATTTAAGTAATTTGTGTATGATTTATAAGTAGAGTAAATTAATGATGCTAGTCAAACTAAAAATTGGATGTTGTAGTTAATTATATTCAGATATTTTATTTTAATATTAAAATTCAAATATTGTAATTATGGCTAGAATAATGGGGTAATTTTATTATAAAAAGTGATTAACTCGAATTGTTAATTAATTAAATTAATAAATTCGAATAATAAAATAAAAGGGAAAAATTGGATAAATTATTAATAATAGTATAAGTGACTAATTATATCATCTTAATTAAAAAGGTGATTATTTAGAGACCGGAGTAGAAGAAGAGAATTAGGAGCACCCGGACTAGAGGTAAGTTTCTCTGCCAATCCAAAAATCGTTTCCTCGTATTATATATGTATTATGTGATACGTGATTTTTAAGTGTGAAGTATGACTTTTATGCATGTGATTCTGAGATGATTCGTGAAACTAAGTGCTTTTAGGGGGTGCACACACTTAAGGTAGTCGTTTCGTTTCCAATAGAGTAGTTGTGGTACCGGCACTTGTCCGGGGTGGCCGTCCGTAACCACGGTCCACCGGGCTCTACCGAAAGGTTGAGCACCGCCCTTCTAAATTACTAGGAAGTTAGAGAAGAAGTGATTTTTGAGGAAATCAAGGAGAAGAGTTATTATGAAGTTTTAAAGAGAAGTTGAGGATTTTCGTGAAGAAGTAGTTTTGAGAAAAATCAAAGTGAAAAGAATTTCGATGGTGTGAGTATTTTTATATATTATTATATAAAGATCTATTTTAGTCAAACACGATTATTTTACGGGGTTGGGTAGTACTTACTTAGCTCTAAAGCTAATTTTTGTTTTCTTTTCCTTGTTTTGTTTCTGCACTTTATTTGTGCAGTTGAGGATGATTTTGTCGATTGATGATTGCTTGCATGGCCCGAGAGCGAATTAGAAGTCGCCTTAGTTATACTAGTCATGAAATAAACATTTACTTTACAAACACTTTATTTTTATTAAATTAGTTGTTATGTTTTAGTTGCCTGTGCATCCGGTTGAGAGATGACCGGATGTGGCGGTAACACCCATTTCCCTTATTAAGACTTCCGCTGTACTTTCTTTAAATTTTCATTATCAATAAATAAAAGTTTTATTTCAATTATATCAACGTTTTGGGTGGGAAATTTGGGGGTGTTACAAATTGGTATCAAAGCCTTTAGTTTTCCCGAAAGGACTAGAACACGAGGTAATAGGTCGTAGGGAGAAAATCTGTCACAAAGACGATAACAGTCTAAGCTGGTTGGTGCATAATTGAGCCTCCGCGCTCGTCCAACTAACTGGGAATTTCTCCTTGTGCTGAAACTTCGTTGTTTGAAATTTTTGACGAAAACTATGGGTTTGATGAGGGATTTTCAAAAATGTTTTCCTAAAATTTGGAGAATGAATATACTAGGAAAGAGGCCTTTTAGGAACGCGGTGAGAGGGAGAAACCTTGCGAAATTATTGAGTTATGAAATGCATGGGATTCATGCCTCTGTGAAGTATGTGGAATATGTGATACACTATGTGTACTATTTGTTCTAAGAATCTGAAGTTAGTAGAGAATTTGTATAGAATCCTTATGTATGCATTAATACTTAGTACGGGTTTTTCTTTATTAAGAAACATGCCGCCAAGAAGAAACCCCCATGCAACCCCAACTGTTGAGGAGTTGGCTCAAACTATTCAGCAGATGGCGCAACACATTGGAGCAGCTCAAACCCATAACCAAGGGGTTGACTATGCGACGCGCGTAGCCGGAAGGAACCCCCCAAAATACCTGGGGGAGGAGGATCATCTGATTTTAGAAGACTGGATCCGAACCTTCGACAAGCTCTTTGATTCGCTCAACTGCCCGTTGGAGCAGCGAGTAAACATAGCGGTGTACTACTTGCACCAAGAGGCGGATCATTGGTGGGCTGCCACCGGATCCACCCTGCTCGAGCAACCGGGATTTTGTTGGGAAGACTTCAAGATAGCCCTACGCGACCGTTTCTATCCGGACCATGTGAAAGAGGCAAACTATGATGAGTTTGTCAACTTCAAGCAAGGAGATTTAACTGTCCAAGAGTACCACACGAAGTTTGTCCAACAGGCCCGCTTCGCCAAAGAGCTGGTATCCACTGAGGCCAGCATGACCCGAAGGTTTGTGAATGGGCTGAACTTTGGCGCCCAAAAGTCCGTAACCGTGACAGAGCCGCGGAACATGAATGAGGCGTACCGGAAGGCTGGGAAGTACTACATGATACATCAGAAGGAGAGGGAAGCGCAGAAGAGAGACCGGAAGATTGTCGAGGTAGAACAGCAGCAAAAGAAGGCCCGAACTGACCGCCCAGAGCCAAGACAAAACAACCAAAACGGTAGAACCGTCCAAGGCCAGGGTCAGGGAAGGAATCAGCCCGCTCAGGTACGGCACTACAAATGCAAACTGTGCCCAAACAACCATCCCGGGAAGGATTGTGCGGGAAATGCGGTGAGATGTTACAACTGTAATCTCATGGGACATCGGGCATATGAGTGCCGGAAACCTCCGAGCCAGGGTCAAAACCAAGGGAACAACCAAACTGGGGGCGGGAATAATCACGCTAACACCAACCGTGGTAATCCCGGTAATCGCCCAGCGGAGGCTAACCGAAACCAAGGCCCGGGAGGGCAAACAACACTCAAGGCCGCATCTACGTCATGAACCAGGCTCAAGCAAATGCACACGATGTGGTGTCAGGTACCTTTCTTGTAAACTCCAAACCTGCTTATGTGCTGTTTGATTCAGGTGCATCCCACAGCTTCATAGCATCAAAATTCGTGGAAAGGACGAAGCTAGAACCTACCACTAAGCTTAGTCTTAATGTAAAAACGGCCTCCAACCAAGTGGTGGCATGTGGGAGTGTTTTCTCTAACGTTCCCATAGTCATATCCGATACCGAACTACCCGGAGATCTAATCCAATTTGACCTGGAGGATATCGACGTGGTGTTGGGTATGGACTGGCTAGGGAAATATAAAGCCAAAATCCTATGCGACGAGCAGAAAGTGGTCTTGAGAGGACCCAACAAAAAACGTGTATCCTACAAAGCAGTTACATCTAAACCGGGAGTGAAGCTAGCAACCATGCAACAAGTCAAACGATATGTCCGAAAAGGGTATGAAGTTTTCTTGTGCAGGATCAAAGACTTGACCTCCGTGGATCCGACCATTGATCAAATCCCGGTGGTCAATGAGTTTCCGGATGTATTTCCAAAAGAGATTCTGGGGATGCCACCAGAGAGGGAAGTCGAGTTTTCAATCGACCTTCTGCCGGGCACCGCACCCATCTCAAAGGCACCATACCGAATGGCACCGAAGGAAATGCAAGAACTGAAGGAACAACTCGAAGAATTATTGGAGAAAGGCTACATCAAACCGAGTATCTCACCTTGGGGTGCTCCGGTCTTGTTTGTGAAGAAGAAGGATGGGAGTCTGAGACTCTGCATTGACTATAGAGAGCTGAACAAAGCAACCATCAAGAACAAATACATGCTGCCTCGCATTGATGACCTCTTTGATCAACTGAGGGGAGCTAGCACGTTTTCCAAAGTTGATTTGAGATCCGGGTACCATCAAGTGAGGATTTCTGAGAAAGATATCCCGAAGACGGCCTTTCGAACGAGGTACGGACACTATGAGTTCACCGTAATGCCGTTTGGCCTCACCAATGCACCTGCGGTATTTATGGATCTCATGAACCGTGTGTTCCGACCCTACCTCGATCTGTTCATTGTGGTGTTCATTGACGACATCCTGGTGTACTCCAAGACACCAACCGAGCATGAAGAACATATGAGGATAGCACTGCAAACTTTGAGAGAGAATCAGCTATATGCCAAACTCTCAAAGTGTGATTTCTGGAGGGATCAGGTAGCATTCTTGGGCCACATCATCACCCGAGAAGGGGTATCCGTTGACCCGTCAAAGATCGAAGCGGTGACTGACTGGCCTGCACCCAAAACCGTGATGGAGGTCCGGAGCTTTTTAGGTTTGGCGGGCTATTATCGTAGATTCGTGAAGGATTTCTCAAAGATAGCAAAGCCTTTGACTAATCTCACGAAGAAGACAACGAAGTTCATATGGAGTGACGAATGCAAACAAGCTTTCCAAGAGCTGAAGCAAAGGTTAACAACAGTGCCTGTCTTGACCCTACCGTCCGGTACTGAGGGGTTCGAGATTTACACTGATGCTTGTCTGAGGGGGTTGGGGTGTGTATTGATGCAAAACGACAAAGTGGTGGCCTACGCATCAAGACAACTAAAGACCCATGAGGTCAACTACCCGACTCATGACCTGGAACTGGCAGCGGTTATCTTTGCTTTGAAGCTATGGAGACACTATCTCTACGGGGCACAATGTAAAGTCTACACTGATCACAAGAGCCTGAAGTACATTTTCACCCAAAAGGATCTTAACATGAGACAAAGACGCTGGCTAGAACTCGTCAAGGACTATGACTTGGAGATCCAATACCATGAAGGCAAAGCAAACGTAGTTGCCGATGCGGTGAGCCGAAAATCAACCCACTCCTTCAAAGCAGCATGGATACTATCTGATGAACTTTACCGGGACTTTCAAAAGCTAGACTTGGATGTTCGGGATTTCGGAGAGGTAGAGCGGGAAACACGGTTACTCACCTTGACCGTTACCCCATCTATCTTCGACGAAATTCGTGAAGGGCAGCCTGGAGACATAAAGCTAAACCGAATCCGAGCAGGTATGACAAATGGCGTGAACGGTCCGTTCAAACTGCACGAAGACGGGAGCATTCGACACAAAGGAAGGTGGTGTGTCCCGATGAAATGTGAAGAACTTAAAAGGAAAATTCTGGAGGAAGGGCACAACACGCCTTACTCGGTACACCCTGGGGGCGATAAACTCTACAAATACATCAAAAAGAATTTTTGGTGGCCAAAGATGAAGAAAGAGGTAGCCGAGTTCGTGGTCCGATGCTTAAACTGTCAGAAGGTGAAAGCCGAACGTTGCAAGCCCAAGGGACTCGTACAATCCTTGGAAGTACCAAAGTGGAAGTGGGATTCCATCTCCATGGACTTTGTTGGGGGCTTACCCCTAACCAAGTCTGGCAAAGACAAGGTTTGGGTCATAGTTGATCGGTTAACAAAGACCACTCGCTTTATCCCAATGAACGAAACTTGGAGCATGGAGAAATTAGCCCGAGCTTACATCAAACACGTGGTTAAGTACCATGGAGTTCCACAAGACATCGTTTCTGACCGTGATTCTAGATTTCTATCTCAATTCTGGAAGGAATTGCAAGCCACCATGGGGACGAAGCTGAAGCTGAGTACTGCCTTTCACCCAACCACCGATGGGCAAACGGAGCGGACCATCCAAACACTCGAGGACATGCTGAGAGCATGTATACTGGACCTGCAAGGGTCATGGGACGAACAGTTAGACTTAATAGAGTTCTCGTACAACAATAGCTACCACACCAGTATCAAGATGGCCCCGTACGAAGCTCTATATGGTCAAAAGTGTAGAAGCCCAATATGCTGGGGTGACATGGTGGATAAAGTGGTGTTAGGGCCGGATTACCTCCAAGACACCATTGAGAAAGTAAAGATGATTCAAGCGAGGATGAAGGCAGCTCAAGACCGTCAGAAATCTTATGCAGACTTGGGAAGGAAGCCTGCCGAATTCGAAGCGGGAGAGAAAGTCCTACTCAGAGTCTCCCCGACCAAGGGGGTAATGAGATTTGGGAAAAAGGGAAAGCTAAGCCCGAGGTTCATAGGCCCTTATGATATCCTCGAATGAGTGGGAAGAGTAGCATATCGGCTAGCTCTACCCACCGAGTTGGCTAAGGTACACCACACTATAACCCGCTCATTAAGTAGTGATTACCTGATTACAAATCTCTGTAGTGTGCATTTCGCGTAGGTACACAATGTTTTCCATATCTCCCAATTGAAGAAGTATGTCCACGACGAATCCCATATTCTTAGCCCCGAGGTACGAATCGTAACCTTATGATAATTAGATCAAAGTATCACATCTAACCTCGACTCTCTTAGGTGGTCGAGTTGGATGAATCGTTGACCTATGAGGAGAAGCCGATCCAGATTTTGGACACTAAGACTCGTGAGACTAAGAGGAAAGCGGTTAAGATGGTGAAAGTGTTATGGTCTAACCACTTGGCCGAAAACGCCACCTGGGAAACTGAGGATGATATGCGCAAACGCTACCCTGAACTATTTGATTAAGGTAATGCTTAACTGCAGGGACGGAACATCTCTTCTAGGGGTAGCCTATAATACTTGGTAATTCATACTTATGTCTTAGCCTTGCTTCGGGGACGAAGCAACCCTTTAAGGAGGGTGGAATGTAATACTTAAGAATTTTATCATTTGACTTAAGTTTAAGCTTTGGGACTACGCACCTCTTAAAGGGGTATAGATTAAAAACACTGGTATTAATAAAACCGTTGTAGCTTATGCTTCGAGGGCGAAGCATTCTTTAAGGGGGATGGAATGTAACACCCAAAAAAAAACTCTTAAAATAAAATCAGATATAAATTATCTGATAAATTATTAAAAGTGAAACAAGTTATTGATAAAATAATTAATACGAGTAAGTAATAATAGTACTAGCTTAACTCATACGTATACATCACTTAAATAAGATGCAATGCACTACGTAGCATAACTAACACACCATACCCTGATGATGATGCACATGACTCACATACATATACATACATACGTAATACATACATGTATTACATACATACATACTTGATGCAAGTAACGTATATGCATGCATACATGCATCATTATTGTTATAAACATAAACTTACAGTTTGATTAGTATAGACAGTAACGGGCAACTAAAACGGATCAGATTAATGATATGCATTAATCAATCTTATTAAGTTATCAAGTAAATAGCATTAAGCCTCAAACGGCTGGAGGGAATTGAACGGTCAGGACCTCTATACATTCGTCGAGCACATGGCAGAAACACGTGAAACTAGAGAACCTATATATACATAAATACTTTGTAGGATAAAACAAAACTAAAGCTATAGCTAAGCAGACGATCTCTCAAATTTTCGGTATAAATCGAAAGAAGATAGTGAGGATGCTCCACGTCGGAAAATCGCTATAGGGCTTCCGGGCTGATTCTACGCCGGACTGTCGGAGTAGCATAACAGGTTTGCCGCAAAGAGAAGGAGTTAGCGCCGGAGAAGAAGAAGTTGGTGCCGCCGGACCAAATTGCTGCTGCCGCTGTTGCTCGACCGGAAAGCCATCGGGTGCCTCCATCTCCATCAGAAAGGAAGCCATCCCGCCGCCGTCTGAGCCGGCTGGTCACCGCCGGAAGCTAGAGCCTTGCGTCGCCGCCGGTACCGCATTAAGAAGAATGAAGTACGTAGTTGATGAACTCTCCTGTATTCCCTTCTTTTAGTTGATAGACTGGGTTGGGTTATTTCGCTGGGCTGATTATTTTATACGGGCCGTAAGATTTACAACAACAACAACAACAACAACAACAACAATAATAATAATAATAATAATAATAATAAGATTCTGCAAAATTAATACATTAGAGACAAGAAATATTAATGGTGAAATTTGCTTGATTAACTGATAGTAATCACTTGGATAAATTCGTTAATTGTTATTTAGTACATAATGTAAATAATAAAAATGGTTTAATTAATAAAAAAAACTGATAATCGAATATTGTATTAAAATAATAATTACTTATTTGGACTTAGTAACATGAGTAGATTAAATAAAATTTGATAGATAGTATTGTCACTAATTATGGGATTAATTGAAATAGAGTAATAAAATTAACATAATTACGGACTCGGAAATATCAAGTGTTTGGGTAAGTAATAAAATCAGATTAAGTTAATGATGATTAGTCAATTTAACTCAGATCTACTAATTGTAACAGTGTCGATTAATATAAATTAAGGTAATTATTAAATTTGAATATTAAATAGAATTCAGATTTTAATTTTTGGGTTAATATAGGTGTTAGAATTAAAGAGATTGTGATGAACTGAGATTTGTTAATTATTTAATACCTTTTATTATCGGACGCGATTAAAATTAATAAAGGATTATTATATTAATTACCAAATTAGATTAGAATAGCTTAAATAATAAGAGACAATTATTAAGTACGAAAATATTCGTAGTAATCTATAATTTAAGTAATTTGTGTATGATTTATAAGTAGAGTAAATTAATGATGCTAGTCAAATTAAAAATTGGATGTTGTAGTTAATTATATTCAGATATTTTATTTTAATATTAAAATTCAAATATTGTAATTATGGCTAGAATAATGGGGTAATTTTATTATAAAAAGTGATTAACTCGAATTGTTAATTAATTAAATTAATAAATTCGAATAATAAAATAAAAGAGAAAAATTGGATGAATTATTAATAATAGAATAAGTGACTAATTATATCATCTTAATTAAAAAGGTGATTATTTAGAGACCGGAGTAGAAGAAGAGAATTAGGAGCACCTGGACTAGAGGTAAGTTTCTCTGCCAATCCAAAAATCGTTTCCTCGTATTATATATGTATTATGTGATACGTGATTTTTAAGTGTGAAGTATGACTTTTATGCATGTGATTCTGAGATGATTCGTGAAACTAAGTGCTTTTAGGGGGTGCACACACTTAAGGTAGTCGTTTCGTTTCCAATAGAGCAGTTGTGGTACCGGCATTTATCCGGGGTGGCCGTCCGTAACCACGGTCCACCGGGCTCTACCGAAAGGTTGAGCACCGCCCTTCTAAATTACTAGGAAGTTAGAGAAGAAGTGATTTTTGAGGAAATCAAGGAGAAGAGTTATTATGAAGTTTTAAAGAGAAGTTGAGGATTTTCGTGAAGAAGTAGTTTTGAGAAAAATCAAAGTGAAAAGAATTTCGATGGTGTGAGTATTTTTATATATTATTATATAAAGATCTATTTTAGTCAAACATGATTATTTTACGGGGTTGGGTAGTACTTACTTAGCTCTAAAGCTAATTTTTGTTTTCTTTTCCTTGTTTTGTTTCTGCACTTTATTTGTGCAGGTGAGGATGATTTTGTCGATTGATGATTGCTTGCATGGCCCGAGAGCGAATTAGAAGTCGCCTTAGTTATACTAGTCATGAAATAAACATTTACTTTACAAACACTTTATTTTTATTAAATTAGTTGTTATGTTTTAGTTGTCTGTGCATCCGGTTGAGAGATGACCGGATGTGGCGGTAACACTCATTTCCTTTATTAAGACTTCCGTTGTACTTTCTTTAAATTTTCATTATCAATAAATTAAAGTTTTATTTCAATTATATCAACGTTTTGGGTGGGAAATTTGGGGGTGTTACAGAATAGATTTTGATGAGACTTTTGCACCAGTTGCCAGACTGGAAGCCATCAGAATATTTCTAGCCTATGCTGCCTACAACAACATCAAGGTCTACCAGATGGATGTCAAAAGTGCATTTCTGAATGGAAATCTTGAAGAAGAAGTTTATGTGGAACAACCACCAGGTTTTGTCATTCCTACTCACTCCTCTTGTGTCTACAAGCTTAAAAAGGACCTCTATGGTCTTAAGCAAGCTCCCAGAGCATGGTATGACACATTGTCTCTTTTCCTAGTGAACCATGGGTTTACTAAAGGAAAGGTTGACAAAACTCTATTTCAAATCTCTGTTGCTAATCATATTCTGTTAGTACAAATATATGTTGATGATATTATATTTGGTAGTACTAATCTAGAACTGTGCAAGAAATTTTCTCAAGTGATGCAGAGTCAATTTGAAATGAGTATGATGGGAGAACTCAGCTACTTCCTAGGACTACAAGTCAAACAAGTTCCAGAAGGAATCTTTATCAATCAAGGGAAGTATACCAGAGACCTGATCATGAAGTTTGGAGTGGAAGGCAAATCCTCAGTGAAGATTCCCATGAACACCTCACAAGGAATTGGTCCATGTTGATACAGAGGAATCATAGGATCTCTTCTCTATCTAACTGCAAGCAGACTAGATATCTCATTCTCTGTTGGAATCTGTGCTAGATACCAATCAAAGCCCAAGGAGAGCCATCTTATTGCTGCAAAAGGGAATCATCAGATATATCAAAGGAAATCCAAATGCAGGCCTATGGTATCCAAAGGGAGGTAACTTTGAACTAATTGGTTACTCTGACTCAGATTTAGCAGGTTGCAGATTAGACAGGAAAAGCACCTCTGGTCACTGCCAAATGCTAGGAGGAAGGCTTGTTTCCTGGTTTAGCAAGAAGCAGAACTCTATCTCAACAAGTACAGCAGAAGCTGAATACATTGCAGCTGGGAGTTGCTGTGCTCAGCTACTCTGGATGAAGCAACAGCTGAAGGACTATGGCATTCAAGCAAAGGAGATCAAATTGCTGTGTGACAACACCAGTGCCATTGCCATCACTCAGAATCCAGTTCTTCACTCCAGGACAAAGCACATTGAGATCAGACATCACTTCATCAGAGATCATATTGAAAAGAAGCACATATGCATGGAGCATGTGCCAACAGAAGACCAGCTTGCAGACATTCTGACAAAGCCTCTTCCTGAGGCTAGATTCAACAAACTGAGAGGAATTGGGAATGATGGATGAAATTCCAAGAGAAAGTTGAAAAGGAAGGCCATTTGTTGCAAAATCTCTGCTAACAGATTACCTGTTGCAGAACCCCTTCTGTTAACCCCCTTCTGTTCTTTATCCTGGCAGAACACCTCAACAACAGAAACCCTCCCTTCCTTCCTACAGAAAACCTCCTCTTATATCTAACAGAAGGATGTGGACTTTGAAAATTTTGAGAAACCGGGTGATCTAGTAACTTAATGAAGGTCTTTTACCTCTTTACCCTTAAAATGGTATACAGCCACAAAATATTTACTGCGCCCCTTTTTACATTTATTGGTACCTCGGAACCGTAAATAATCTAAAGCGTCCACTAACCCGAACCCATATATTCCCCTTTCGCAAACCTAAACCGTTACTGCTTTCATTACTCTCAAATTCTCAAACCTCCATAGCTCTCAAGCTCTCTGAAACTTTTCTCTGTTCTAATGGCTTTCATCAACATCAACGACCTCACCAAGGAAGAAATCAACATCCTGGTCTCTAACATCTATACTGGGATGAACTGCGACCTTTCCGCACTCCCTGAACTTGCACCAAATCATGAAACGATGATGAAAATCATCAAGGGAATGGTGGACTCGCAACTGAACAAGGTGGTAGGATATCATTTTGATTCCTACAGCACGAGGGATGTGGCAGAGTTTTATCTCAATGCTACGTATGAAGGGGAGACCATCAGGTCAAATGTCAATGGTGATGACATAACCCTCACTCCTGAAGTGATCAACGCTCTGTTTGGCGTAGTGGAAGATCCTCAAGAAGAAGACACTGAAGGCTTCTTATCCCAGGACAGTGTCAAGGTCACTGTGGACAACTTTGTCCAACTCTACTGCCGACCTGAAGTGGCTAGAGTTCCCAAACTGTACATGAAGAAGAACCTCCTTCAAAGTGACTATGAGAAGCTGGTCAACATTTTCCATAGGTGTGTCTGGAGCAAGAGCACCTCCACTGACGACATGACTGTACTCAATGCAAAAGCTGTTTTTGCAGTTCATCATGGGATGAACATCAACTGGGGACAGGTAATCATCAAATCCTTAGTTGAATTCATAAAAAAGAAGGACAAGGAAACCGGACTTTTCAAAAACCCCATGGGTTATGGCCTCCTAATCTCTGAAACCCTGCTCAAGGCAAGGATAGGGCTGAGAAACCCTATTGAGGCAGATTACACAAAACTGCTTTTTCTCAATACCTCTGGTGACCGAAAGATTGCCCTCAAGGCTGAACAGAAGAGGCTGAGGACTCTGGAGTTTAACCGATAGAAGCTCCAACAGAAGGTCATCAAACCCAAGAAGACTGTGAAGAAACAGCAGAAACCCTCTACCCCTTCAGAATCTGAAGAAGAAGAAGTTCTGATCAGAAAACCTGTGAAGAATGTTGTTCTGCAGAAGGCTGCCCCAGCCAAGGTTCAGAAGCTGGTGGCAAAGAAATCTGTCATAAAGAGAAAGGCACCTTCCCCTATCTCTACAGAAAGCACCCCCTCTGCCTCCCCCATTGCAAAGAAGGCAAAGATTCTGACCCCTGCAGTACAAGAGGAGCTGGAGGATTATGTCACCTCTGCCCCAGCCAACAGAAATGCTTGGCAAGGCAAGAGGATTGTTTTTGAGTCTAGTGACTCTGAAGAAGAAGTAGCAGTACTGGATGCTACTGTTCAGGTGGAATCTCACAGATCTCCCTCTGCAACCATGCCTGATCAACCCATGATGCTTTCCTCACCAGAACATCATGAAGTAGACAAAACCCCTGAGCCCACAGAACCCCAGGAGAATATCCCCTCTGATCTTGACAAAGAATTTATCAGGGTTCTGGCTTGGAGGAAGTGGAGAGTGGGATCTCTCTCTGAACTACTCAGAATGCTCCCCAACTTTATCACTGAGGAAGCTGAAGCTCTGAAGTGGGCTGGTACTGAAGATGTTGAGTTATGCCTCAACAAGGACTTCCTTCTCTCTATTCTTGCAGAGAAGAAATGGAAGGAATGCAAAGGCAAAAGCAAGCACACTCATGACATTGAAGAAGAGCATGTCAAGGCTCTGACATATGATGAGATGGCAGCCTTTGATGAATGGCTGATTGAAAAGAAGAGGAAGGAATCTGTGATCAAATTTCGCCATAGTGCTCATGGAGAAGGGGAACCCTCCACTGCCAATGATTTGCCTCTGGTCATGGAGAAGCTGGTCAAGGAATGGAGGGATTCACAATTCACAGAGACTCTGCTTGAGGTAATTCCTGAACCTCCACTCTCACCCAGAATGCCAACTCCCTTTACTACTCCACCCCAATCTCCTCACCAGAAATCCCCATCCCCACAGAATATCACCTCACCCTCACCCCAGAAATCTCCTTCTGTCAAATCCAAACCCTCTTCTTGTAAACCAACACCTTCTACCAGAAATCGTTCTCCTTCACCTCCACCATCTCCTCCTCAACAAAAAATTCCCTCTCCCCACCCTACACCCCTGCACCAGAAAACCTCTTCAACTCAGAAATCCCCTCCTAAATCTCAACAGAAACCACCCTCTCCTGCTGCATCTGCTCCCAGAACCTCTCTGCACTCAGCTGCATCTGCTCCCAGAACCTCTCTGCACTCGGCTGCATCTGCTCCCAGGAGACAGCCTCTACACCGCATCCTCTCATCTGACAGTGAGAATGATGGTTTCCTTCCATCCTCTCTTGCTGGAGATCTCACCTCCAAACGCCAACCAACTCCTACCAGAGAACCTTCTCCTCAGAAACCCTCTCTGCAACAAACTAGAAGGCCTCCTATGCACAGGTCTAGAGGATTGGGAAAGCCAGAACAAGCAAGAACAGAACCCCAAATGCCCTTCAATCAGTTTGTTGAAGCTGCAGAAGAATTTGGTGGACAAATTTTGGATGGCATGAACAAGCTCATTCAAATCAACGACAAACACTTTGAGCACTTGTCCCACGTTAATGACAATCTCAACTCTGGTATGGACTTCATCTCATCCCGCTTCTCTGCCCTAACAGAATCTTTACACAACTTCATGGACTCATCCTCTGCTAAGACTGAAGCTCTGACAACTGAAGTAGAAGGTATTCATAAGACCCTTTTCACCTTTCACCAAACCCTGATGGCTCAAGGTAAAGCAATTGAGACCATCTCCACCAATCTTGAAGATCTTCAATGGGCTGATACCAAAACAAAAGAACAGCTGTTGGACATAGAGGAACTCTGCAAAGTCCACCGTGATCAAACCAGAACTCTGTTTGCTGAAGACAAAGAGAGATACCAGAAATTGGTTCTTCTTGAAGCAAGTTCCAAGGACATTGCCTCAGCTGTCCATAAACAACAAGGTCTGATAGAAGGTCTCACCTCTGTAACACAGACACTGCCAGAAACCTTAGAGCAGATTGCCACATCCCAAGCAACAGAGTTTCTAAGACTTGCAATGATGATCTCTGACCTGGATGATGCCAAAAAGCGGGAAGAGGACCCTCACCCTAAAAAGAAGCAACTCACCAGAACCTCAGCTGGCCCCTCTGTTGATCCAGCCCCCTACTTTCAGGCTTCCATGCAAAAGAAGAAAGAATCTGGAGTTTCTAGACCCTCATCTCCCCACAGAACCTCATCTAAAAAGAGGAAAGCTCTAAACTTCAGGGAATGGAGACTAAATGGTTCTCAGAGGATAGGCAGAGCTCAGTTCGAGGA